TATTTCCGGGGTACCTTGATAATCGAAGCTTTTTGGTCGAAGCAGACTTTATGCATGTTGAGGCTAGAGAGGTAAGCAGAGTAAGCCTGATTCCCCGTTTGGGCGTTTCTGTTGACATCCACCCCTTGGCGCTCATATGACCTCATGCATTTACGAGCGCCGTAAAACCTTACTAAAACTAAAACTTCTTAATGTTTTGCCCAGGGAAATCTAAAGAAAATTCTGCTTATGTGATCCAAAACTTCATCTGATGATGTGTGGTCTTATGTCTGTGTAAAATATCATCAATCTCTTTGTGAATTATGTATATTGTCTTCCTTTCGTAATTACCGTTTGTTCCCCAAATGAGCTTATCCATAACAGAGTTAAGACGCTTGGATAAAACTTTAGCTTAAGATTGTGTTATATGTATTTGTTAAGGAAATCGGTCGCCAATTATTGGGGCTGTCTATAAATACATTGTACCTTTACCTTTATGCGGTAAAGAAATTACGCCTGCCCTCTAAGATGGAGAGAGCACGTTGATCTGGAAACTGTAATAATAACTTCCAATAAGAGGACCCATAGTATGTTCCCAGAACGCTTTGTGGAACTCTACAGGAAGACCGTGGTATCCCGGAGCAGAGCCATGTTTCTTTGAATCTATTAAAGAATACATAAAAGAAATACCTGAACTGTCAAATTATGTATTGACAACTTAAACCAAACAAAATAATTAACACAAATAGATCTAGATTTGATATCACAGCTTGGAAAATAAACAAAGCAAAAAGATTAGAGTATCATCTCAGTTTGGAAAAAAAGTTTTTAAGAATCTTCTTTTTTTATCCCAACGTTTTAGAGAATCAAGTTTGACGTCCACTTTGTAAGGACACCTCCACCGCCCTTTCCATGTCAACTTTTGTCAACTTCCTAGTTTGCTGTTTGATTTTCTTCCAATACTGAGCAAACACAAAACATTTTTTTTCTCCTCTGACAACCTTGGACAATCGATGTTGATGGGAGATCTTGTGGTCTAGAGGTTAAGATGTTCGCCTCTCGTTCAATAAGTCCCGGGTTCGAATCCGGATGGCGACGGGAAGCGACGGAAAATTTTCTTTTCTAAGGTTCTCTCCTTTCACATCCTTTCCTGCTCTCTAACAGTGCTCTGTCGTCTGCTTTTGTCTCCCCTTTCTGCCCCCACCCCTTCACCACCTCTGCCTCCTCCTCTGGGCTCCTGACTCTTTCTGCTGCCTTTCTACTGTTGCTGCTTGGTTCCTTCTTACTGCTGTCTTTCAGCTACACCACTGATCTTATGGTAGGTAAGATCTACACCTAGACTTCTCGGATAAGGGCAAAAAATCTCGGAGGTTCTTTGTGCAAGTTGCGCACTTTAAAGATCCCTTAGCGGTCCAAAATCGATAGGAGTAGGCTTCGGTCGCCACCCGGGCAAAATTCAAAATTTCCAACCAACTGAAAATGTTTGACATGTCCCACGCTTATACATGTACAGTGGGTGTCGCATTCAACGAGGTCACATTCAACGAGAAGTCGGCTCCAACGAGGCAATCCTTAATCCCCGATTTCTTCCTCTATATCTCTTTGTAAATGTACGCCGGCTCCAACGAGGTTGCAAACAGACCGAAGTCGCTTTAAACGAGGTTGCGATAACCAAATAAAAGCAATTAGCGGTCACAAAAGTGAAGAATTTTTCTCCTTTTTCTCCATCTAACGCGAAGCACAAGACCCATCCTCGATTCCTAACACATTGTATACATGTATGGCTATATCTAGCGTGCCTCGTAATATTATGGGCCCCAAAGCCAAGAGGATGGGCGAGGGTTAGCCTACCGTCCCTACGGTAGGGATGGGAGAGGTGAGTGGGAACGCGATGCGGACTGTTTGAAACTGGATGAACTCTGGATGGGTAGGTCTAGATTGAGACCTCCATTTTTTTCAATTTTCTTTTCTTCCCCTGATCAGAAAATCCAAGTTCCAGCCTTAACTTTATGTAGATCTAGGTCTAGATTTGAGAGGGTATGTTTCCACACGAGAAGTGTTGCGGGAAAAAACATTTTTTAAATTGCAGAAATGAAGGTCAGAACACAGCTCAAACGCGCGCACACTAATGCTGTTTGAGATTTTCATCATCAGGGGGTACAACTGTTCTAACTTCTGGTATTGGTACATCGTGTAGTATTATAATGACTTGTCTCCTTTCTCTTTGTAAATGTACGTCGGCTCCTACGAGGTTGCAAACAGACCGAAGTCGCTTTCAACGAGGTCGCAATAACCAAATAAAAGCAATTAGCGGTCACAAAAGCGAAGAATTTTTTCTCCTTTCTCTCCATCTAACGCGAAGCACAAGGCCCATCCTCGATTCCTAACATATCGTACACATCTAGCGTGCCTCGTAATATGGGCCCCAAAACCAAGAGGATGGGCGCCTTTGTCACGTTCAGCGAGAAGTCGGATCCAACGAGGACAACAAGCCGGTCCCGGCAACCTCGTTGAATGC